CTGCTGGTACATGTGAACACTGAGAACATCCCCTGGCCTGTGCATTACAGGCCGTATAATGATTTTTAACTATAGGTCATGGCTCCTCCAGCAAAGCTGTGGTTAATGTTAGGAACAGAAATTGTCTTTGCTTAATGTGAGGTAGACAAAATAATGAGGTTTGGCCTCTGATAAAGGGACCAAAAATTCTGGGAGAACACTGCTAGAACAATCCAAAAGAGGTAGATATTCCCCTGGCAGGTACCTTGGGATAGAATGCTTCTGGAAAGTATTGAGTACTTTCACTTCTGTCTCAAACCCTGTCCCAAAGCTGACTGCATCTGTTGACACCCACTCCTCAAGGGTCCTGGCTTTTGCTTCATTGCTTGTAAGGTAACCTGTAAATCTATAATGATTAATAATGAGAAACAGCAGTAGTCAGAAGCTCTGAAAATTCTTAGCAAGTTGATGTCGCATGGATTATCCCTCCCTCACAGTCCTCTGGAGCAGTGCTGATACGCTAATATAGCTATAAATGAATACGGAATTCCTCAAAGCTAGTCTCAAGAACCATTTCTACCTCTCCTGGGGTCATAGCCTTTATTAGTTCAACAAACTTTTATTTCATGAAAGAGGCTTTGCTGAGCTATTGAAATTTAGAGTCCACTAAGGTTGTTAAGTAATGGGTGAGGGGGAAAGGGAAAATAAATGTCATGAACAGGATCTGGTGTCTCTTGACTGAGCAGACCCTTCTCTGAGCTGTTTTGTCTGTTTCAGGCATTTGATTTACTGCCTTTGGGACATCATCCTGGAATTCTTGGATCTAAGTGCCTCTGATGAGGAGCCCACCATAACCACCTCTGCCTCAGATACCCCGAGCAACCCCAAGAGGATGGGTATCTCCCCTTAGCCAGAGGTTATCCACCCAGTCCAGAGTAGAGACAGGAGAGCTACTCTGCCACTCAAAGACCCGTCAGGAAGCCCTGTGGAACTGGGCACAGCTCAGAAGCTCAGGGTCTCAGTGACATGGTTCTTCCCCCAGCTCTGTTTGTAGCAGGTGATGGGGGAGTATACATACCAATTGCATGCATATCCATTTCTGTACCTTTTCTGTGGTGTTTAGATTATTGCTGGTGGGTAGGTCCCAGCCTTTGGAAAAAATCTGAGGGGTATAGGAATGAGCCCCTTTTACCTCTCCTTTTGTCCTTCTCCCTAAGATTGCCAGTAGCTTGGCCTAATCCACCAGTACACAAGCTCTATGTAGACCAACAAGAAAATGATAGCCAGATTTCCTTGAAGGAGAAGCCAGATCTTCTACACTCTGTTCCCACTAGGAAACTGGAAGGAAGTTCATGCAGGACCCCTCTTGAAAGCCAGATCCCTGTATCCTATCTAGTTCCCTAGCAATAAAGCAGAAGAGGGCGGGAAAACATTTCTCAAGGGACTCCTTGCTTAATAGCTATTTTCCAATATATCAGCCCTATGGGGGATGTCCTTGAAGGCTGCTTCCCTGGGTGGCTATACTTTTCCTTTCCAGAAGACTTCAAAACAGACTCCTACAGCTTCTGATAGATCTATGCCACCCTCCACACCCTTTCCTGAAAGCAAGTTGCTCCACAGATTTTATTTATTAGGTTTCCTTCTTACCTCCTCCCAAGAGCAATTGAATTTCAGCCTTTGTGACCTTCTCTGTATCTTCCTTCAATAAAATCTCATGTCCAGTTGCATATTGAGCTTGCTTCTGAGGGAAACTTGCTGCTCCGCTGAGAATGCACGAAAAGCAGGCAGCGCAGGGAATGAGCCGGCACTCCTGTCTCCGACTCTGGCTGGGAACCTTTCATCTGAACCGATAGTATTAGCAAACTTGCAGGGAATGAAATTCCCACACAAAGCTTTTTACTGACTGTTCCTCAAGGATCTAATTAGGCTCTAGGAATACCAGTGATGAAGGCAAAGGTGCTGTCAGGCTGTAGTGTCTATTAGAAAAATGGAACAATTAGGAGAAATTGTTGGTAGGAAAGGAGGCAGATGAGAAGTCACATGGGAAGAGCTACACATTAAGTGCATGTGAATAGCTGGCAGAAAGGTTTAAAGGGTATCAGTGGGAGACCTCACTGGGAGACCTCTGCTCACCCCTCATCCATTCAGCTTCCCACATGTCTGTTTGTGCCCTGCTTTCACTGAATTATGCTTCCTCCTGTGGTAGAAAGGTCTTGGGGTTGGACTCAGAAGAACAGCGTAGGTCAAGGTTCCCTTAGACTCTGAAGTTGGTGATGTGCACACAATTAAAGTGGTTTATGCAAGAAAGTTGTGAAGTCTACTTTTTTCCCTTTCTGAGGGTTTTTAACCATAAAATGTTCTGCTGTAACTGGAGGCTTTAGGTATGCTGTTACCACCTGAAGGCAAAGAGGTGACTGAGGGACTATCTCATGGCACCTTCCAGCCTTAAAAGTTGATTGTTACAGTGACTTGATGGTCCAAAACTGTCGAAGCATCTTTCTACTCACAGGCAGAAGTAGCCCAGCATGTCTACCTTGGTAAGTATTTGCAGGAGTTTGGGATTGCAGAGGGTGTAGCCTGACTCAGCAGAGCCCATGCTTTACCTCCTCCAGCCAGGACCGAAATGCTCTTCAGGGTGGATGGACGTGGCCTGCCCTGTTATCTGCTACCCTTCTCTCCCCGTACTTTACTCTCATACATACCTAGCCAGCTGTATTGCTTTGAATCTCTGTTACTATCTGAGTTTTGACTCAAATGTTGCATAAAACCAGTACATAAGCTGACACACTGTAAAGTCCCTGTGGCTATAAATTCTAAGGAGTTTTTTTTGACATCTCCAGCCCAAAGAAAACTTCCTTATGTTTCATATTATATGAAACCCTATTTCTACTCTGTCTTTCACAAAACAATAAGCTGTGCTCAGAACACCCCTTCTGCCCAAAAGTGAAACAATGGATATTGCCAAGGAAATAAAACCCATCCGGCTTTGAAACAACCTGCCAAGTTGGGTAGCAGGTTCAGACAAGGGAGATAAGCATTTGTGAGGCAGCTGCAGGTACCAGGAAAAAGTACTAGCTGAGAGAGCAATAAAAGGCAATGAGGAATTGGGCTGCACAACCCAATTCCTCCTCTTACCTGCCCAGGCCAGTCCATTATTTGTGACTGACTACATCTCTCCCTTTGCTCCTAGCACCCAACAACAGTTGTTAGATCCTAGGTGGAGTAAAATGTGTGAACATGCTCCCTGGCTTAATGAGTTGGGATGCTTCGGACTGAAAATTACTAGGAAAATTAATTTTCTTACATAAAATCAGTACCTGAGCAGGTAAGCCCCAGGGGTAGATGGATTCAGCAACTCTTACCTCAGAGGGCCCAGATTCTTCCATCTTCCTGCTCTGCCACTGTAAAGACATTAGCTCTGTTCTCAGACTACCTTCATGGTTGCTGCAGTTCATTGCATCATACTCATACGCACTATGAAAGAGGAGGGGCATCTCTTCCATGTCATCAAAGGGTGAGGAAGCCATTGCACAGAAGCCCTTCAGGAATCCTTTCCTCATGACTGGCCAGAACTGCCCACCCGAAGCCATCCCCCTGACATTGAGAATGGTATTACCAGATTGGCTTGGAACAGTCAGTCACCCTCCCGGAAGGTTAGGTACATTTTAAAAACCACTGGATGTTAGCAAGGAAGAAGCAGAGAATGGGTGTTGACAGTGTCTCTTACAGGTGTTCTGCCAACATCAACAAATCCCCCATGGTAGTCTAAAATGCCAGTACCAACTAAAAGGTAACATTTGCTGATGGCCTCTTGAAGCACTTCACATGCAGTCATTTATTTAGCCTATACATCAACCCTGTAAGGTAGTTTCTATCATATATAATTTTCCCATTTCCTAGATGAGAAACACGAGGCCCAGAGAGGCAGTGACTTGCCCACAATCACAAGGAAATGGCAGAGCCTAAATACAAATCTTGTCAGTCTGCACTCGAGCCTACGTGAGTAATGTTTACACTAGTCTGCCTTTCTTCTTAAAAAGCAAAATAAGACCAGGTTCTCACTTTAAGAAGCTTATGGTCTAGTAGAGAAGTCAGCAAACTTTTTTGATTAAAGTCCAGGAAATAAATATCTTAGGCTTTGTGGCCATATGGTGATCTATGTTGCAACTACTCAGCTCTTACATTGTAACATGAAAGCAGCCATAGACAATACATGTACAAATGACTGTGGCTGTGTTCCAATAAAACTTTATTTAAAAAAAACAGGCAACTGACCACATTTGGCCCATGAGTAGTTTGCAGACACCTTGTCTGGTGAGTTAGAACAGTGCTTATCAAACTTCAGTGTGTATATGCCTTAGCTAGGATCTTGTTAAAAGCCTAGTGTGCGGCATTTTTTAACAAGTTCTCAGCTGTATGCCAATAAGAATGCACATCTTAAACTGCACTTTGCTAAGAAGTTAGAACGTGGGCATCTCCAGTGGGGTGTGATTAATACACTACTAAGTATATAGCAGGAGCACTAATTGAGATTGGGGGACAGGGGAAAGCCTGCAATCATAACTTCTGAGCTGACTCCTGAAAGGTCAGTAAAAACCAATGAGAGCATGGGGAGGGCATCCGGATGGCAGGAACTGTGAAGAATCTGAGCAAAGACAGAGTAATCACAAAAAGACAAATACTGTAGTCCCACTTAGCCGGGGTAGTCAGAATAGTCACACTCAGAAACAGGAGAATGGTAGTTGTAGGGAATGAGAGGGGGCGGTGGAGGTTGTACCATGGGCAGAGTTTCAGTTTGGCAAGTTGAGAAGTTTCTGGACATATATTTTACAACTGTGTAAGTATATGTAACACTATTGAACTGTACACTTTAAAATGGTTAAGATCAAATTTTATGTATTTTACTACAATCAAGACATTTAAAAAAATTTTTTTAAAGGCACAGAGCCACAGGTGGCAGGTCCCAGTGACACAGTAGGTGTGCCATGCAGGGAGGGAGAGGAGGGGGAGGCAGAAAAGCTGCATGCAGCCAGGTGGGAGAAGCCTGCCTGGTGCGGCGTGCTAGGGAACCTGGGGTTGTGTTCGCCTTGCCCAGTGGAAGAACCTTTCTGAGGAGGAGCTTTCATCAGTGCTGACAGTTCCTGTTTAGGGTAAACGGGGAGTTTGATCACATGTAAGCAGCCCTCCTTAGATTCTACCCCTGGGGACTGGACTCCTATCACAGCCACTTTCTGATCCCCTTTAATTTATTCAAGTCTATTCCATTTCTTATGTTTGAGATGGCTCTATAGAGGGTAATGAACCAAAATGATAAAATCCTGATTGAAATCTTAGCTCTGCCACTTGGGCAGCTGTAATCAGCTAAGTTGGCTTCACTGAGATGAAAAATTCTCTCTTACAAAAAGGAACAAATACATGACAGCTATTTTGAGAATTGAATAAGATAATCTATAAGAACAAGCTCTACACAGTACAAATGCTATGCTATTGAAAATACCAATGGCATTATTGTCCCGCTCCTCTGTGGTCTGATGGAGCAGTGGGAGATGCTTCAGAAGCCCATTCAGCCAAGCTGCCCTCTGGGGCAAGCCACTGTCCACAGCTCCCACGGGACCTGCTGTTTATCCTAGTCTTCCTTTGCACGGAAGCAGTATGTGGTTTCCCAGGATGAGTAAAAGCATCTTAGCCAACCCTGCTGAATACAGAAGGGAATGGGAAGCAGGGAAGGAGTGGTAATTGGAGGGGAGGGTGGGGGGAGGAAACCATAATACTTTTATATGTGAAGGCCCAACTGGGCAGGCTCTGCCGGGATGGGGCACCTCCGTCTCCTTTCCACTGAGCGCCAGCAATCACTGGGCAGAGTTGCCTGCACTGCCTTTGTGGACAAGAAAGAAACCATTGAAGGGTGAATTTCAACTAGTGAGCCTCCATCATTCCTTTGTGGTGTAAAGGATAAGAAATGCAGATACACACAAAGCAGTGTATCTCAGGAGAGCCAGTGAGAGGACACCACCCCAAACATTACTTGCACATCCTAAGATTTGCCTGATATTTTTTTTACACAAAGACCACATTACCCACAAGAATGTATCAAGTAAGAAACCATTGAAAATCATCAAAACCTTCCCACTGTGAATCAGTAGAAACAGGCTTTGAAGCAGAGGCAGCTCTGAAGTGATGGGGGAAATTTGGGCACCGACAGTCACCTTGGCACGTACACTGCGCTATTCTCAGACTTGCTGAGCCTTCCTGCCGCCTCCCTATCACTTCTCACCTGTCTGGTCTGAAAGCACATTTGAACTCGGCTTTCTTGGAAGCGAAAACAAGCATGTGATGGAATATACACTACTCCTGCCTTTGATGTCTCTTCGCCAACATGGCAATATCTGATTTCTCTACATATCTGGATTCTTCAGTCCTCACCTAAAACACCTCCATGTAAGTCACTGGCACACTATATCTGGGACATAGAAGGTTGGGAGGGAAAAATAAAAGAAACAGACTAATAGTATGAAGGTCCTAGCTTAGACAACAGTTCTTGAAGTGGCATCGTCTACTCATTTTAGCCTAAAATAGACCTTTTTGTCACCAGTCAGAGTTTGTTTAGGAAATGCAAGCTAATTTTAATATTGGAGTGTTACAATGATTGAGAATGTGAGTCTGTGGCTTATATATACACACCCACACTCTGGCTTTTTTTTTCTTCCCCTATGTTCCATGTCACTGATACAGCCTGTAATTAGGAGGAATGGAGAGCTGGCAATATAATTACTTTCAGACCTTCAGATTAATCAATGAGGGTAAAGACTAAGCAAGGTGAACACAAAGTCTGCGGATGCAGGTAAAGGTGCTAATGTGTCTACAGAAGCTGTGACTTTGCTCTACGAGTTGAATAGAGTTCGGTGATCTGCAGGCCAATCAGCCCTTTTGCCTGTGTCCCTTGTTAAAGAATCACCCGCCCCAGCAGCTATCAAAAATATCAGTAGAGACTTAGAAAACGTCTGCATTTCATATCTTGCCATTAGGGAGGATGGCCCTTTTACTAAGGAAAAAACAAAAACACTTTGAGGGTTTACATCCTTTACGGAACTCACATGGAGTCCAAATTCAAGAAAGTGAAGGCAAGCCAGTTCCTTTCCAGCTTCACGTGGCTGTGTCAACGTTTACCTGCTGTTATCTATAAAGGCAAATGATTCTTTCAAAGACAATGACAGCACCTTTCATTACGGCTTCCTGTGCCTCCGGGAGCATCACATTGGCTTGGTCAGCAGTAGGACCTTCTACCTGGAGGCAGAACGTGTTATGGAGATGGTTTAGGCAGGAGGCTGGGTGAGATGGTTTCACATGAACCTGGGGGTTTGCATTCTGCTCTTTCCTGCTTCTGTCCTGTGGCCCATGCTCTTCTTCCCACCAGGCAGTTTACCTTCCTTCCTCCAGCTGTGCACAGGTGGGTGCCCTCCATCTGTCAGGGCCAATTCAAGTTCCCCCACCTCTGTGAGGCTTTACCGGATTGTGCCAGCCAAGACTCTGTCCTTCCTGTGGGTTATTTACCCTGCCTCTCAGATCAATGCACAGATACAGTGTCTTCATTAAGAGACTGTAATTCTTCAAGGGCAAGGAACATATTTTATATCCCTTTTATTCCCATTATATCCCCATGCCACCCTACCCATGTATATACCTGGCTCATTCACATATTTTACCTCCTAAAAGGTACATACTATACTCTAATAATACTAATCCTTTTTAAATAATCGAGTTTCAGTGAAAGGGACAAAAAATGGAGAGTTGAGGGGGTGGCAATTTTCACTTTTAGGACCTTATATCTTTATTCAACAGCTAATATAAAATAAAAAAAGCTTTTTAAAAATATTTCCTATGCCAAAATCCACACAGTTTTGTAAGAGTACTATTTGCAATTTAAATATGTGGGCCATAAGGTGCCAAAACTTTAAGCTTATTTAAAGAATATCAGTCCTGATTTGGAAACGGTTTTTAAAATCATCCCGTCACAAAAAGATCTAACATACACTGTCTATTCTCTAGCTCTCCCCATTTCACCTACCCTTTTACTCACGAGGAGCAGGAAAAAAAAAATCTGCCTGCAAGAAATATTCTCAACTCCTTCCTGCCCCAGACACAACTTTGTAAGGCATGCAATTACCATGAGGACAGGAGAAAGACAACTTTCTCTTCTGCTTGCTGTCTAACTTCTTTAAAATTATCTTGGAAATCCTTTAAAATTCTTTATTTCACACATTACCTACCTTCTCTAAGCCGTGTCTCTGATACTACGAGGAAAATGCTCCAAAGGCAAAGTAATAACCTTAAAGATAGCCTGAATCCCTCCTTGCTCTTAGAAATGTTTGCTCTCTTCCCCACCTCATTTCCTGCTGCAACTGTTTGCCCAAACACAGCAGATCGAAACTAGGCAGCTGCCCTAAGAATGAAAACTAACCAATCTCAGACATCTGAATTAGCTGCAGGTCACCACGTTGGCTCTGCGGGGATAAAATCACCTGCTGTTTCACTGGGCCCCAGAGCGAGCCTCCAGGACAGGATCGGACAGGGAGCAAGAGCAGGTAAAGGAGCAAAGCAGGAAGATCAGTGTGAGAATTGAAACGACAACGCATTTCATGCAAAGAAGGGGACTCCAGACACGGCAGTGCTTGGGTCAGATGTTCTCTCTGAGCAGACCTCTATCACAAGGATGCTATCTGCTGTGGAACGAAGTCCATTCCGTGTGCCAGTGCACATTTGCACAACACATGATGTGGAATAGTCTCTGGAGCCAAAACTGGTTCTCTATCCACCCTGGGGCAGGTCGATCATTTTCCAGTGTAAACCTCCTTGGGAGTAACCACTTATTCCAGTGTAGTGCGCTGGGTAATTAATACCATATCTCTTCCAGACAGCTTTGTACGTCATGCACGTGGGTGAAGACTCAAAAGCTTTCCTTTTCAGAGATCTGTCTGGATGAGACAGAGAAATCTGTTGCTGTTTGAAACAGAAGTCATCCCCCTGTACCGGTGTGTGCCTTGCAGTGCAGTGAGCTTGTGAGGGGCCTGTGGGACTTACAGGGCAAGAGCTTATCAGTAAGAGGGGAGATAAGAGCGCATGTGAGGATACAGCAGTGATATCTGAGGCCTTAATGCTGGACGAGCAGGGCTGTGCACCTCCCTTTAGCAGTCTGGAGAGAACTGAGGCAAGAGCTTGTGTTCCCGCAGGCTCTGCATTCTGAGGTTGGGGATATGGAAGAATGCCACCGTCGGGGTGGAATAACCTGAGTTCTTTACAAGATGAGGGTTTCTGTGTATTTTTCCAAAGTGGTAGAAATTTTCCTCATCTAATCTCTTTCAGAGCAGGCATCCTTGGACCAATAGTCTGCCTTCTCCCAATTCCTCCTCTGGGTTTATTTCTGAAACCTTTGCTTAAAAACAAAACTAACTTTTTAAAAGAACGTTTTTAGAAACTTCATATCTGTCATTTCTCCTTTTTTTAAAAATTTTGTGCAGCTCTAAAATTGCTTTCTATTTATCCCTAAATTTTTCTCCCATATCAGTTTACCACTTCTCATGGGTTGACTTGGCTGTCCCACTAGTCAAATTGCTTTTTGATAAATTACTATGGACAGCACTTAAGATTACAAGTAAACCTTAAATATGTGATATTTCTCATACTTAATTCCACATTTGCTATTCTTTGAGGAAGGTTACCCTGGCATTCCCTTCCGTGAACTCTGTGAAATCGGAATAACCACCAACCGTAAGATTAAACATTCTGATAAATTCTTTACATGTTCCAAGCCACCCACACAATGTTATGGACCAATGTTTGTGTCCCTGCCCCAAATGCGTATGTTGAGGCCCTACCCCCCAGCGTGATGGTATTAGGAGGCGAGCCTTTGGGAGGTAATTAGATTTAGATGAGGTCATGAGGGTGAAGCCCTCATGGTGGGGTTAGTGTTTTATAAGAAAAGGAAGAGACCCCAAGCTTCTCTTGCCTCACACACGTGCCGAAGAGGTCCCGGGAGCACGCGGGGAGAAGCCACTTACAAACCAAGAGAAGAGGCCTTAGAATAAAACCAGCCCTTGCCAGCACCCTGGCCTTAGAGTTAGTTCTCAGCCCCCTGAACTGTGAGAAATTAATTTCTATTGTTTAAGCCACCCAGTCTGTGGTATTTTATTCTGGCAGCCTGAGTTGACTAAAAGACACACAACTAGAAAGTTTCAGCCACGTGCATGTCTCCCCAATTTTAAGTCCAGATTCTGAGACCCAGAGAATGAAGGGGCTTGTTGAACCTTCCATGGACAACCTGTTGTAAAAACAATTCAGGCATTGAATACCAAACAGCCTCTGGAAATATTGCCAAAGCTTTTCTCTCCTTCAAATCACCTCTACAAGTTCAGCCTCTTAGGAAACTTTATGAAAACTGGTGAGAAAATGCTGAACAATTATTTAAACATTAATGCCAAATGGAAAAGATGATGTGTAAAATAAAAAACTGTTGCTAATTGCTTGTGTTCATAGTTCCATAGGCCTCTCAGCTACCTGCACTGATACCAGGAGGTAATAAAGAAATTCCAGCTGTTCACTGAGAAGCACCTAAGGTCAAGTGTCTGTCATAAGCTGCCACTTAGGAAATGCCTGTCTGTCTTCCCTCCCAGCTGTGAACCCCCTGAAGGCAGATTGTTTTGTTTGCCATAGTTTATATAGTAAACTATAATTTACACCATGTGACTTCACTATGTATTCTTTACATATTCTGTCATTTCACAAATTCTCAGAAGCCTGGACTAGTTCCTCTATCTTCTCCACACAGGCACATGGCAGACTTTCCCTGCACACAGTTGCTTGACCTATAAATGAATCTGGCAGCTTCTTGTTGGTGAGTAACATTTTTCTTTCCTTCTGGTAATTTGGAATCCTTGCTACCATCTGGCAATTTTCTTTCCAGCGTCCTACACACACAATAGAGCCCACACCCCTCAAAACCCCCTTGACTAAACCGGATGACAGCAAGAATGCCCTATAAGCAAAGGTGAGGCCTTCTGTCTCCTCCAGCCTTCTGCTCTGAAACCATCCCGACTTCTCAGAGTGATACCAAAGGAGGGTCTCCCGGGCAAGCTTTGCAGCCTCTACAGCCTTTGTCTGAAACTCCTGCAGCTCCGACGGGCCTGTCGCCACAGTAATCAGCTACCTCCTGACCCCACTGCTTTCTGAGACTGACTGTCTAATCTGAGGTGGGAATGTCCCCGGAGGCAGACCCCAGACTGGCAGCTCTTCACTCTGACCCATCCAGAAGCAAATATCCAGCTGGAAGCTTTTGCTTGCTGGGGTGGAAGGGCCTCTTTAACTGCAGGAGGAGTTCTGATGAATTCTGGACTCAAAAGGGTGTTGCTTTTTTTCCCCCAACAGACATGCTCTCCAATCCCCAAACCAGCCCCTGGTGAAAGTTGGCCTTTTAGCCTTTTGTATCACATTCTCTGTTGTTTATAATGCTGGGCGAAGATGGGAGGGAACAATAACGCCAGAGGATTTGGGTGATCTTCCTGTCAGTAGGGAGGTATGTGGAAAAAGAAGGCATGGAGGGAGGGAGCAGAAAGCCAGCTTCGTGGGATCTGTTGACATCTAATGGCTGGAACAGATTGCTTCAGCTCACAGGAACACAGAGCACCATAAATGGGTGCTGATTTCAATCTTAAAAGAACCACTCCTTCCCACAGGAAAGCAGGTGGCTAATAGTACCCATAAGACCCGTATACACTGTGCCTATTTAATTCTTCAGTCATATAAAGGCAAAGAAAGAACCATTTCAAAGATGAGCTTTTTAAAAAAGGTCACCATTTCTCTGTTGGGAATTGTCACAGGGGAGTAATACGGATCCTGAATAAATTGCCACCCACCCAGAACTCACCCAGAAGGGGAGCCATGCAAGGGAGGCCCTCACATTTGCTGGGGCATCCTGAGGGCTGACAGCTGGTCATGGTCGCAGTGACCGTGGACAAGTCTCCGGACTTGGTTCCTTCCCGTCCACATGGAGAGGCTGGGTGCATGAGACAGGAGGACCCAGGCCAGCCCTGTGACATCAGTGAGAGAGCACGGGCCATGTCTCCAGGTCTTGGCCGGTGTCTGGAATAGTGAAGATGCTCCCTGAATGTTTGTCATGAAAATAGATAAATGATAGTATTTCATTTTGACTTTTATCTCCATAGAGATTTTCTTTGGCCTCCTCTGGGTCTCCATATGAGGGAGGAAGGGAAGAAGCTCGGAGATACTCTTTCTGAGAGGTATGTCTTGCCTTTCTCTGGGCTCCTGGAATAAAAAGTTCCTCTCCTACACTTTCCCTCTTCAAGCCTTCCAGAATCAAATTGATCAAATACCATACGGATTTGAGGAATAAGCCACACCCCCAACCTTCAAGGAGCCCAGACCTATTCACCTCCAAGTCATCCTTTCTGGGGAGTAATACGGATCCTGAATAAATTGCCACCCACCCGGAACTCACCCAGAAGGGGAGCCATGCAAGGGAGGCCCTCACATTTGCTGGGGCATCCTGAGGGCTGACAGCTGGTCATGGTCGCAGTGACCGTGGACAAGTCTCTTGACCGTGGACAAGTCTCTGGACTTGGTTCCTTCCCGTCCACATGGAGAGGCTGGGTGCATGAGACAGGAGGACCTGAAACTCCTGCAGCTCCGACGGGCCTGTCGCCACAGTAATCAGCTACCTCCTGACCCCACTCCTGACCTGCAGTGGTATTGATAATCAAAGTACACACTTTGATTCCTCATTTTCCAAAGTACTTTTCATTAACCATCTCATTCCAGCTTTTCGTCACTGCCCCGAGCAAGGTGATACTTCACACATGTATAAGACTTCCTAAACGACATAGTAGTTCATATCCACTATCTTATTTGATCTTGACAATCACCTTTTAAAGTAATTTGGAAACTTATTAGTGTCCTCGTTTTATTGAAGAAGAAACAAATACAAAGTTTTTCTCTTGCCCAAATCACTTTCCACCATCAGAAGAGGCCAAAGCACTGGTAGTAAGAAATCATCTCTGTCAACAGAGAACGAGGTGCGAACCCCAGCTCTGCATCCTTGGGTAAATGAGGTACAGTCTCTGTGCCTTCGGGTCCTCATCCATTAAATGGGAGCAGTGATGGCATGTTCCTCACAGAGATTGTGCAGGGAAAGGGAAAAATAGACTAATATATTTAGGATCTTCCAAACCTTTAGCGCACACTTTGTACTAAAGGTTTGTCGTCATTGGCAAAGCCCAGGCTAGAACCGGGGTCTTCCAACTTCTAGATCAGTGACATTTCTGCCACCCTTCACCAATACTATCCTCACGATATAGATGAGAACCTACAGCCTCAGCAAAGTCTGCTGTGAATCAGCTCTAGAACTAACATCTCCTGGAACTCTATTCAGTCTTCTCACCATTCAGCCATGCAGCTCTCCATTGCACTAGGAATCCTGCCAACCTTCTTACATTTTTAAAATTTACAAAGCAAATGCTCTCATTCCTAGAGTATTGACTGCCCAAAGGCAGATTTCCTCCCCATATCTGGGGAAAGGGTCCTCTACCTTCAGTCCCAAGAGAAAAAGGCATAGGGTGGACTCACGGGGACAGCTGCATGCTCACCACTACCCCAGCTTCTCTCGTGCTCTCATGCCCACTGCAACAGTCTCTGCCCTTTTCTTTCCTAATGCGGTTATCATCAGGGCCAGCCCATTCAACATCTGACCGTTTGTTTTTGGTTCTCTTTATGAGTACAAGTCCTGTTTTTATGCACTTCCATTGTGTACTCCTCGAGAGTACAGACGAGGTTGTGTGTAGGTTGTTCTTCACAGCACACAGCAAAATGCTCAGTAAGGGTAGGTACATGAATTGTTCTTGCTTCATGAATTGACTGAGTGTTTGATGGGCTGATGGTCAGCTCTCTGAGCGGCTGGCAGTTGTCCCCACCTCTTAGCTGCAATGTCAAGATGATTGAAGGACTTGCCTAGATGGCATTCAACACCACAGTGCCTGAACAAGGGTAGAAGTTTCAGGAGTTGTCTGGGGCAGTAGGAGCAGGGGTGGGGCAGGTGGAGGGAGCTCTCCCTGTTCATACCTGGCCACCTGACTCAGAGGCTGGGTACCTGGTCCCTGCCACTGTCTGATGGCACATCCTGTGCATGGATACATGGACCTGTCCCGGGATTGCCCCCTTGCCCACAGTCCCTAACCTGTGTCCAAACCAGACGTGACCTTGTTCTACAGTCAAAAACAAGTGAAAGTCATCTGCCAGGGTCACTTGGCACTGAAGTCCTGTGACAGAAGAGCCCCCAGTTAAAGGGCAGTTCAAATCCAGGGCATTAAAATCACCTGAATGGTGTTGTTTTCTGATCAAATGCCTTTCCCTGTCGGGTCTGTGATTTTTGAGCCTGAGAATGTCCCCTCACAGCTCAGGTTTCTCTGCTGTCACACTGGTCTGAGGCCCGGAATGTGAACACTGGCCGTTGAAGTCTGATGTAACTATGTCACAGTCCCAAAATGGAGAGACATTATCTCATGGATGGTGGCAGCAGGCGGGCCCAGGGTGCCCCTGGCAGGCGCAGCCCAGCACCAGCCCTGGGAAATTCCAGCCCCACGGTTCTCAGTGGACAGTGGATCTGAGGCCCCAGACTCCAAGCTGTGCCCTCGTAAACTGGGGTCTTGCCAATCTTCCTGCCCAGGAGTAGACAAGGGGAAACACAGGCTGAGATGGAGACAGGTTCGTTTTGGAGCACATCACATTCATTTGCAGAAAAGTGAGTGGAGAAGCCCTGAGCGTTAGGAGGGCTTGGTCGGAACGCCAAGTGCAGCCACTCATTTGATGAAAGACATGTTGTCTGAGGCAGTGCTAAGCTGCCATCCTTCCTTAGCTGGGCCCCTGGGGGCAGGATTGCTCTGCTTTACCGACAGGGCAGGTGGGGCTTGGTGGCCTATGAGGTAAGCACCCCTTCGGGCACTTGGAGAGATAGGCCCCAGGGGGAAGCCATTAACCCTCTCAGAGTAACAGAGGGCCTCAGAGGCCTAGTCATTTGTATCAGGCAATATCTTTGGGGATGAAGAGAAACACCTTCTTATCCAGATTTAGAAGAAGGTCCTGCCACATCCTTTCCTCCTCATTTAGCCTGTTTACACCACTTACTTCCTCTGGCTCTGCTGTGAGACATTTCGTCAGCACTGAGCCACTTCCCAGATGGCCCTGGCCACTCCTGCCTCCCCCCACTTTGTCTGAAGGGTCTTCCTCGGCTTGCTTTGCCCTTCCTTCAGGGTTCCGACTCGAGTCCTCCCACCTGGCCAGGCTCTGCACAGCCCCTGCAGTCCCTGGAACTCCTTGAGACCTGGTGTGGCACCGCTCATTCTGTCCCTGCCATCACAGGTATGGGCGAGGGTGCTTTCGCCCAGGGGGCCCTCCGCACAGATTCCTACCGTCTGGACGTGCACACACACTGACCCCGAAGAACTCACTAACTGCTCTGGCTTCTCACCACGCAGCACCAAACCTCATGTGGAATCCAGTGGCGCAGCTGCGTCCCCTGCCTCCTGTTGCCCCGTCCTCCCCAGCACACCAGGCGTGCATGTGTCAGGACTTTGCACTTGCTCTTTCTTCTGCCAGGCTCGGTCCCTTCCTGGCCTCGCTCACCCACTCCCTCCACTGTCTCTGCCCAAATTCCATCTTCCCAGAGAGGACTTCATGGCCCCCTGTCTAAAAAACAGCATTCCTTACCCTACTATCATGCTTTATTTTTTTCTCCTAGCACTTACCACGAGCTGATGGGCATTATATTATTATATTATACTATGCTGCACGATACCATATAGTTTTAAAATTTTTATTGTGCGTGACCCCTATAAGAATGCAGGCTCCCTGTGGGCCAATGCCTTGCTTCACCCACAGCTTGTCCTTGGTGCCCGCTGCATGTCTGGAACACTGCGGTTACTCACTACATGTTGAATGAGTGGATGGGAAAACGAATGAACAAATAAACACCTCTCTGTAAAATATGGACCATTATGGGTGATAACGTGACACACAGTCAACCATGGGCTGACAGAAGGCTTTTCCTCAAGGAGCCAAAGAGCGTTAGAACTGTGCGTGAAGAGGATGGGAAGCAAAACATAAAGGTCATTGAAAGTAGATCGACCCTCACCTGTACAGAGTAAGAAACCTAAGTCCCAGCAAGGGAAAAATGAGTGGAATAAACACCTAGAAAGTTACTATCTTTGACTCCTACACATCCTAGAACATGGTCTGATGTGACAATTCATTGGAACAAATTCTGAGTTATCAATTTTCTACTGGTTTGTATGAGAATAATTTTTATTAGAATCAAAAACAAAACAAACATGAGACAAAGGAAATGGCATACAATGTCCCCTCTTTGTGCCTCCAGGTGTTTTGAGAGGCTACTGCCTTTTCCGTAATCTGATGAAGAAGCATCTAGACTGAGTTTGTCCAGTGTCCCTTCAGTAGCCCGCCTAGACCTGCGCAAATATTGGGACATTGCTTCTTCGCCCTTCCCAACTTTCGTGTGTTAGAAAGAACCCCTGAAGGACTGTCTGCATTTGGAATAAAGAGAAAATTCATGTATATACCCAAAGTTAAGCTGCACCGGGGCCCCAGGTCTTCATTTGGCCTCCTCCCTGGGCATCTGTGAAATGCTGACCATGGGTCACTGAATGGGCTGGACCCACGTGGTACCGCTGCTGAGTGAGTGGCTCAGGGGCCCTTTCGGTGTCGCTGCTCATCAGATAACAGCCATTCTGGATGTTTTTCTCTTCCTTTTTTTTTTTATCAGTTCTCCAGAGGACTCTAAGAAAGTCCCACCAAGTTAAAATCTTCTCTTCCAGTTGGCCCTCGGGGGTGACTGCCCCTGTGTTCTCCCTGCACGAATGTGTTTGACAGCAGTGAATACAAACAGTTCAAAAGCAATAATTTCTTAGCAGGACAGACTGGCGTAAGGCTTGTCCCTAAACAAACTAAGCCTGTCAGGGAAGGATATTTCAGCTTGGGCTCGTGCTCCCGAGACACTGAGATTCTTATACGGCTGACACAGGAGCCAGGGCTGAACCACAGCTTGGGCTGTCAGTGATTGTCTAGAGCATGCAGAGCTGGGGGAAGATTCCAGGGCCAAACAGTTCAAACAGGTAACTGGAAATGCCACAGAATAAGCTTGGGCTGTCAGTGATTGTCTAGAGCATGCAGAGCTGGGGGAAGATTCCAGGGCCAAACAGTTCAAACAGGTAACTGGAAATGCCACAGAATTCCTTCTGAGGAAAGGCTTTTTACTCTCCAGCCTGGTTTTCTTAAATGGCCTAATGACTTCAGTTCTAGAGGTGAGAACATCCCTCTGCCTGTCCCTGAGCTCCTTTTAGCCACCCAGTTCCTTTCCATCATTCTCCACAATTCTCTCCTCACCATGTATCACCATTTTCACTGCTGTGTCACTTAGAAGAGCCCCCTGCATGTTTTGCCACCTGGGAATATACCATGCCAACTATGCCTGGCCACTGACATGCCTCTAATCATCTGCACCTGAGTTGTTATAAAGGCTTGCTTTCTAGGCTTGGTTTCAGTGTTGGGACATCGGACTGACTCAAACATCAAAGGCGGAGATGTCCTCAGGGGCATCATTAGCTGTGACCTGAGGATAACCATGTCTCTTTTGTGCTGTATCTTCTGAAAATCCACAAGGGGGCGCTCAAGACCTCCCAAGCCAGGCCCCCGCAGGTGGTCTGGAAGCCAGGAGGTGGCGCTGTTGCCTTAGCCATCCTGAAGGGAGCGGTCAGAGCGCGGGGCCGACGGACATCCCCTGGAAAGGGGGAGATCGCGGGGCGCGCTGCTGCAGCCCTGGAAGAAGCCAGGGGCTTAGGATTCAGGAATAAAAAGACAAAGCCCCTGTCTTGAACAGATCCGTGGTCTGTAGGGTGGGCAAGGGCATGGGGTAACATAACGAGAAAGCCACAGGTGAGGACGACAGTGTAGGGATGCGGGCCGCATAGCAGAGTAGGAGGCTGCACCCAACCTGGTGGGTGGAGAAAGGCTTCCTGGTGCTTCTAGAGTCTCAGAGCAAAGCAGCGAGGCAAGCAGCAGCGCTATGGACAAATGGGTGGTGGTAAGAAAGGAGGGCTGGATGGGTGGGGGTTGACAAATGGGTGGTGGTAAGAAAGGAGGGCTGGATGGGTGGGGGTTGCAGGCCAGGTCAGGGTGTCCCCCTGCAGGCTTTCTAGTCACCACATTCTGCAAAGAATTGCAAAGAGCAACGGTGCCACTAATATATGTGTTTGGAGGTGCATGGGTCTGAGCTTATCTGGGGATAAATCAGTAATCCCCAAGGGTCAAAGAGACCTGGGGGAGCATCAGAAAAGCATTTTACCTTGACTTGGAGTTGCCGCTAGAAGCTGTAGCCTCTCTTTCCTCCCTGACCAAGAAATACAACAGACTTACTAGGATATGGCTTGGTAAGATCTAAAATTGAAGAACAACCATAGATTATTTAGCGAGGTAAACATGTACATTTTTTATGCAAGATAATGACCAACTTATAAAGACAACTATTGCCATTTATTCTTCAAAACAAAGTCATATGCCCATGTTTTATAGATGAGGAGTAGGAGACCCAGATCACACAGTTCATGAGGCGCTGGCGCTCCGTCTGGGCTTTCTGATCTGACTGCCCTTTCTCCCCTCCTCACCAGGATGCTCTGCTCTGGGTCCTCACAGAACTGACCACCCAGCTGGGAAGGAAAGTCCAGCATCGCTGGTACCCAGTGCACTCACTAACCCTGAGACTGGTACAGTCAAAGGGGGCACGCAATGCCGTCAATTCCCAGGAGGAGAGATGTTGGGTTGCTGGCTCCAGTTTTCTGTCTAAGCCCCCGTGTCCTGACATGAGCACCAACTGGTCACCAGCATTGACAGAGCTGTGAATCGTGAGTGCTAAATAAATAGGAGGGGTTTTCAGATGCACCACTGTGGGGGCATTCGGCTGGCCATACAATGCTCTGTGGGGATCCGGGGCGACTTTGCAGGGAGGTCTGTGACTTGGTGTACCCTCAGTTAAAATGACATATTTCCCAGACTCTTGGTCTCCAAGCAGAAAACAGCCTGAAATGTCATTTTTTTTTAAGTTGCTGCTACAGAGATCTCTTGCCAGTGTATTGAAGTTTATGGAGAGAATGTTTTTAATCAACTAAGTGTACTGGTGTGTAAAGTTCCCAGAAGGAATAAAGCCCACCGGGAAGACAGCAAGAAATGGGAATGTAGCAAAGACAAATGAAGAACCCTGTACTCAGCATCACTGGGAAGAAGCAAAAAACCCAGCAAGAGGACTGTGACGCGACAGATGACAGAAGCACCCTGTAAAAATAAATAAATAAAATAGAAGTCCCTGAGAATGGAGCAAATGAAATACAAATAGTCCACAGAATGACATGTAAATTAGCATCATATTTCCAAGGAATGTTCGAATTGAGAAGCTAAATAGACCACCTCTCCAAGGCTCCCAGCCTGTGGATGGTGGCACTGAACCCACCAAGGGGAAGCAACTTGCTCTAGAAATGGCCAACATCTAAGAGGGCTCACAGCCCTGGTTTCAGTGCCCTGCATCAGTCATCTCATTTAATTCTCCAAAGAGGTCATAAAGTATGAGGTTCTCCTCATTGTGACAGATGGGAAATTGACTTTTAGGGAGGTTAAGGCACTTGCCCAGCTCATCTTGTCAGTGAGGGGCAAAACGGGGATCCAAATGTGGGCAGTCCGTCATCATGACCACCCCACCGTAACCCTGGCTGCAAGAACCAGTGCAAATCAGCAGCAGAACCAGGACTGAAGCCCCGATACTCCAGCCCCTAGTTTCTGTTCCTTCTTCCATCCTGCTCTTCCCTCACACAGGCCCAGAAGGCTCCTCTTTCAAAGCCGTGGCCTCTGCTGGTCCCAGGCATTTTTTGATGGAATGCTCTTCTAGATCTCCACCAAGCCTGCTCCCTCAAATCCTTCACTGACCATGCCAAATAAAATGGCATCACCATTCCACCCTCTACAGCCCTGGCATGTCCAAAACTTCTGCTTTATTCACAGATGACAGTTATCACCATCTACCTGCCACAGGCGGGCTCACTGTCATCATGGCTCAGGGTCTCCTACTAAGATGCAAGAAGCTCCATGAAGGCGGCATCTTTGCTTCTCCAATGACATCCCCCCTAACAGGCATACATAAATGTTCAGTAAGCAGTTGATGAATAAGTAAATGAATAAGTAAACAAACAAATGATAAGTAAATTCCCAGGCCTGAAGCAAAGAACTCAGGCTCTCTGTGAAGCATGTTGGAAGTCATCCTTAGCTGTTTGTTACTGAGATGCTACCTAAAAGTCCAAACCCAGTCCAGTCCTGCCTCCTCCAAGAAACCTGAAGCTTTCTACCATCTGAGTTATGGGCAAGATTCATTCCTTGAGTTTTAATATCATGTTTCCAAGAATCTTCTGTTAAAGTGCAGATACTTCTGAAAGGGAAAACTGATCTCTGCCAGCACCCACTTTAGGTCAGACACACTATAAACACATGAAGAGCAGAAATCAGCCCTTCCTCTGGGTCACCTGTTCCCTGGCAAGAGGCTGGACACCCTCAGGCCTGAGGTGAGTCTCCTTTCCTGCAGGGTCACAGCTCTGCCCATGCCCTCAACCTGACCCCCCCCCACTCCCAGCCAAGGCTTCCAGGTGCCCTGAGCTTTGGAAGTTTCCTTCTGCCCCTTTAACATAGTGTTCCAGCTGGGGAGTTATCAAATGATGCAGGACTATTTCTCTCTTCAGACTAGTGCACCAAGTCTGTGCTCCTGCAGACCAAGCTCCAAGCCTCTGATGGCCTCCAAGCCACTGTCTCGCCAGCTCAGAGTGTAACAGAGTAAGTACTTAGCAAATACATTTTTAAAACTTTTTATTTGACATAATGATAAAGAAAAGTTGCAAAAAAATACAAAGCTCCCATATATCCTCCACCCATCTTCCCCTTATGTTAACAGCTCATAAAATCATAGTAAAATTATTGAAATTTTAGGATATTATCATTGATCCTATACTCTTGACTATATACAGACTTTATTTGAATTTCAGCAATTTTTCCACTGTGATATTGCGATTTATAATACAAAATTATGAAATAGATATTTGGTCTTTGTCCCATTCTTGACACAGAGCTCCTAAAAGCACGAGTTTCCTTTGGTGAAAGAGATCAAGGTGTCTTTTGTTTTGTTAATGAGATAACTTTTGGAAAGTCCCCAGGTAGCCTGAGGATGGGTCTGGTTGCCAGGGGAACCGACCCTGTGGTTAAAGGTTGGCATTTTCAGTCCCTCCCCAACCTCAGGAAGAGGAGAGGGGCTGGAAATTGAGATCACTTAGCAATGGCCAATGATTAATCAACCATGCCCAGTTAATAAAGCTTCCATAAAACCCAAAAGATATGATTAGAATTTGGAGAGCTTCTGGGTGGGTGGACATGTGGAGATGCTGGGGTGGGGGCACGGAGCTCTGTGCCCCTCCCGTGTACGTGGCCTGTGCATTTCTTCCACCTGACCATTCCTGAGGTCTATCCTTTTACAATAAACAGGCACTCTAGTAAGTATAATGTTTCTCTGAGTTCTGGGAGCTGCTCTAGCAAATTAATGGAGCCCAAGGAGTAGGTCCCAGGAACCTCCAAGCTGCAGCGCATTGGTCAGAAACACAGGTGACAACTTGGGCTTGGGGTGGGCATCTGAACAGGAATGTTTTGCAGGACTGAGGCCTAAACCTGTGGAATCTGCAGGTGCATAGTGTCAGAATTGAGTTAATTGCTTGGTAGTGTGGAAAAAACACACACTGGTGTCAGAATCGGACATACTAATGTTCTTTTTCTCACCCAGGATCCCATCCAAGACCCCAATGTCTCCTTCATCTCCTGCAATCTGTGAGCTAGTTCCTCAGTTTTTCTTTGTCTTTAGTGGCGTTGACACTTTTGAAGAGTTCCAGTCAGTCATTGTAGAGACTGTCCGGCAGTTTGGATCTGTCTGCTATTTTCTCAGGGTTAGATGGGGTTACGCATTTTTGGCAAGAAGAAGACAGTGAGTTTGTCCTCCCTGCATCCTATCAGCAGGCATGTGAATGATGTGCATGTGCCTCCCCTGTGATGTGGACAGTAATCACTTGATTAAGGTGGTATCTGCCAGGTTCCTCTACCCTCGAGTTACTGTTTTTCTCTTTTCAGTTAAATAAGTGTTGTGTGAGGAGATGCTGTAGGATCAATAGTTTTGAATAAACCAATGAATGTTGGAACAAAAATCTGAATCTGAAGGAAAGGCAATTAAAAGAGCAATAATTGTGAGTTCTCAAACTGCATTAAAAAATTCATTATGGAGGATAAAATAGAGAAAATAAGACAATAAATGAATGAGTCAAAAGCCACCATCTCAATAATGCAGAGAAGAGAGTAAGTCTGGTTACATATTTATGCAGCCAGCCTATCTTCGTCATCTCTTCTCTACCTCGTGTCACATGTTTATATTTTATGAGTGACTGCAGAGGCGTCTGAGGATAGGGTGACGTAGCACGTTTACCCCTCGTGCTGGAGCACAGTCCTGTGCCGGGGTGGCCCACTGTATAAACCACCTAGAGCCCATTCAAAGGACAGCAAACACATGCTGGTCTGCTGGGAACGGCTACAGGAAGGAAAGTTGTCCCACTTAGAAAGGGCAACTCTGGGGAAAGTGCAGAGCACCCGTCCTGGTCAGCTGGGGGCGCCGTGACACCGTCACAGACTCGGGCCTCCGCAGCAGTTACATCCTCACAGTTCCGGAGGCTGAAGTCCCAGATGAAGGTGCTGGCTGATGTGGCTCCCAGCGAGGGCTTTCTTCCCAACTTGCAGACAGCTGCCTCCTCGCTGCGCCCTCACGTGGCAGAGGGAGAGGAAGAGCTCTCTGTTCTCTTCTTATAAGGACTCTGGTGGGATCAGATCCCCGCTCTTATGGCCTCCTATGACAGCTACCTCTATAAACCCCTCTCTCCAAACATGATTTTGAGTTGGTGGTTGAGGCTTTAGCATCTGAATTTGGGCAGGACACAAAAGCTCAGTCCGTGGAAGTAGTTATCCTCTGTGCCTCCCAGTGCGCCATCTATGTAACAGGACATTACGTGGCACATTGTGATTGTCTCAGTGTCTGTGGAAGCCCTACACTATGTACAATAGGTGTCAATATCCCAAATTTAAAGAAAAGTGCTGAGCCAAGAATTTGCGATGTGTGCATCAGCCTATTGTCTACCTCCATATGACAGAAAAGATTAAGGCTCCATTAAGAGGGAGCAATCATGGTGAGGTTTCTCTAGAAAACAAAGCCATGTGCTAAAGTTCCCTCCTAGTACTCCCTACTCAGGCCAACTGTGAACCTCCCAACACAATGGACATATGTGCCCTGAAATCAGGGACGATTGTGGAACTGTTATCTGATTCACATTTGGAAGGAAAGAGGCTGTGGCTTGGGGAGGGGGAGGCCATGTCTGCAGAAGGAGAAGAAAGCTGCACTGAAGAGAGCTGTATCAAAAGCAGGATAAAAATGCATGCTTCCCAAGGCCCACCACACACAGACCCCTAGGGAGAGCCCAGCCATAAACCAGCTCGAAAAACTCCCTGTCCAGCGGACCACTGAAGTGGGGCTGCTGATGGGTGAGCTCAGCATAAGACTGAGCAGCCCCACCAGCCATGGGCTAGGAGGTCATAAGCAGCCAGTCAAGGGAGGTGTCACGCACAGCAGAAGGGTACAGTTGAAAGTCCCCAGTGGGAGGGGCTCAAAGGAACCTAGGAAAGTGCCCGTGAGAGAAAAAGTCAGCACATAGGTTCTCAGTATAAAGGTGCTTATTCCCCATGTCATTTGCACTTGCCAAGTATGGAGGACTTTTTCTGCTCACTGCCTTTCTTCCCAAACCAGCCAAGGGCGTGAACGTGGGAGGGACAAACAGATGAGGAGAAGCAGGTCTCTGCAGGGCCCCAGCCCCAACCAGGCCTTGGCGGGGGCAATTGTAGGGATCAAAAGAGAGACTGGAGCTTGTTCAAAGACTGCACTGGACTTTTTAACATCTGAAAATGACCAGAATATTCTACAGGATATGCAGGAAGGAAGAAGGAATTGAAAAAGAGTATAACACAAAGTGGAGAAAAAATGAAGTTCCTTTCTCTTTGCACTCTACCAAGTCCAGTCATTCAGAAACGAAACAAAGCAGATACACACGGGTGTGATTACCTGTCCAGCTACGCACGGCCCTGTACCTAGACAGGCTCCTCACTTGGCTTAATGTTCTGCTGTCACCATCTTGAAATTCTTAATAATTTTAAACAAGAGCACCACGTTTTCATTTTGCACTGGGCCCTGCAAATCACGTAGCCAGTCCTGGTTACATATATTACAGGGGTCTATGTGGCCCCAAGGGGTACAGTGGGGCCAATCAGTAGGGGGTAGAAAGAAACAGAATTGAGCTCAACATTAGGAAGAGCTTTCTAAAACTCATGGCTATTGCCCAAATTGGAATAGGCTGTGTAAATAGGTAGAGAAGGATCGTCACAGCTACTTAGCAGTAATATCAGAGGCATAATTCAAGCTGTGAATTCAAGGGAATTCAATCCCTTCCAACCCTGAGATTATCTAATTCTTTGATTAATGAATCTCCTTCAAGATGTCTACTCTACCAGCTTCACCAGGAAATGAACTCACCAGTGCTGAGACCAGGTGAGAGTATTCCTGAGGCCAGCCTGTAATCCTACGTGGTCGGGAGTTTCACTGACTCCCTGGGTTTCTGTCCAAATCGTGAGCTGTTGTTTTCCTTTATGAGAACATTATTGCCATTACTCACTGTATTTTTGATCATTGTAAGTTGGATCTTGTTATGGCTGGCACACTGTGACTGCTGGCTTCTAAGAAAAAGGCCTAGAAAATCTCAGAAAGTGTCTTGGACTGGAATATGATTCCATTAATCATATTTTGACAAAATAGCATAAAGAGTCCTGACAAATAGTGATCCAATTTAGTATTAAAAATCTGTGTGTGTGTTGGTTATTATTGTCATCATCATTATTATCCTTGAGGGAGATGGTTCTAGAAGAAAAGAAAGAGCATTGCTTCCTGAGACTGTCCATATATAACCTCCCCGGCTGGCAAGTTCCTCTTCTTGATTCCACCTTGGTGGTGCTGGTCTCTGCAGCCATAGTCAAGAGAGACATCAAAGCTCCACTGCAAAGATGCATGACTGACACCAATACCGGAGGCAGGAACCCACAGGAAATGGGGGTACTTGGTCAAGCTTGGTAGGCCCATTTCCCTGCAGACTCACTCCGCCTACATATTGAAAAACTTTGAGTTTCTTTCATATTTTGGCCTTGACCTTTCTAGCATTTAGCCTTCCCACAATGGAGGCTATGTCACTCCGCACGCTGAGCACAGGCCTCCTAATCATAGCCATCCATTAAGCTGTCAGGAAAAACTCCCAGCTCAATCGCAGCTTTATCAGACTCTGGCTGCCAGTGGGGTCACGTTAGGCATCAAGTCTGACCTGCTCGGAGCCCTTGTCGTGGCGCTGATCCCACGCTCACTGGGGCCTTTGTGGCTAGGCAGACCAGACAGCCACCTGGTTGCCCCCGGCTCAGTTCCCTCTTCCACTGCAATGCCCAGACAGGGCAGAGTCAAGAGAAACAATAGGGCAAACTTCAAGTAAAGCATTCTCTTCGGGGAATTTTGTGCACAGGAGTTATACGGAGTTACCGGAGTCTGAAATTGGAAATGGAGACTCTGTTGAGCAGGGAGGAATCTGGTGTCAGGAGAAAAAAAAGTCTTCAATTTGGACCTGCTCTCAGAGATTGTAGAATCATAGAATTTTATCACTGCCAAGGAATTTAGTGATCTTTTTTTTTTTTTTACAGATTGGTGTAAATGTGGCCAAGGGACTTGGGTTTTACGTTTATTGCTGAATCTGGTTTTCTTGAGTTCCAGGTGAGCAGTACTGTAAAGTGAGATCTGTAACAGTGGGAGAAACATAGAATCATTCATATGTGGCCTCATATTATTCTTAGTTGTTTCATACAAATATGTTCTGTCTCTCATACGAGATCATGCAGGCTATTCTCTACTCACTGTGGAAGAATGCTAACAAAGAAAGTACTTTAAAGTGTTTGCTGAGAGTCAGTGCATGTTCTTTACTCTGTTTGAGGGTGTTTCTGTGTGTCTGTGTCTCCCTAGATAGATTACAAATACTAGGTGCAGGTTAAAATAGAATCACCCAATTTTATTGCTAGTTCTCTGGTGAGATCCAGAGAAATGAAGTTACCTGCACAAGGTCACTCAGCTATTATATGTTTTAAACTCAGATCCACTTCTTGCTCATTCAGTGTTCTTCCCACAATACCAAATTACCTATTTCTTATATTAATAAATAAGTATTGAGGGGCACAAGAGAAAGAAGACATCAGAAGAGGCGAGATGAATCAGTGCTTCACTGATAACATTATCATTGTCCTTAGTAACTGACAGCAACATATCCTTGCTTTTCATAAACCTTAAATATTCAGGGCTATTAGACTTTACAAAGATAAACACTGTTAACAGTTTCTTGTGCATCCTCCAGTAAATAAAAAACAAAAACCAGTCTATGCCCCGTATATGCATTTTTACTCTATGCAGTTTTGCTCTAGACAGTCCTCTGTGCTTTCCTTTTTTACTTAATGACAATACTTAGGGGTTTCTCTATATCAGCACATGCAGATGTACTTCATGCTTTTGAAAAGGAACTTATGGTTAGATATACCATTGCTTATTTAACCAGTCCCCAACTGATGGACAATCATTTCCAGATTTATGCTAAGAAATGTGTATTTTTAACAATATCCCTAGAGAATTTTAAGTAACTCGCTTGACATTAGAATCAGCATTTTGGGATCACCGATTGCCTTATATCTTGTTTAGCAGATGATAAAACTGAAATAAAAGGAGTTTGGGAGTTTCAACTTTTGGAGGTAAAACCCTAACTGGAACCTGGCTCTCCAGGCTTGTCTTCTGCTTCATTCCACTGCTCTTGGGCTGCCTAAGGGCACTGGGCATGTTTGCTTTGGCTCCTTGTAGAAGTCAATAGCCACCACCAACCCCGTCTCCAGGGAACACCCAGTATCTGGCCCAACAGAGTCTTTGTTTAAAGAACTGATTCATCAAAAGATTCTCATCATGGTTTAAATTTTACTAGCCCAAAGATCACTGAGTTAAACTTCCCATTTCAGTAGATGAACCAAAATGCCTTGGACAGAGATGTAATTCAATAAAAACTTAATACTCTCATAAAATTGAATATTCTCTGGTTCCCCAATGAACTCCAAAACTTGCTAGATTTCTTCTGCAGATGATGTGAGATGGGTTGTTTTACCTAAACTAACCCCATTATGCCTTTAAAAATGCATTATTATTTAAAAGTTTACATATATTTTATCCTTCAAATGTACAAAACAGCAATCATAGTATTTCTGGGAAAAAAAGAGCTGGCAGAGGGGCTTATCACATGGAGAATTTTAGGACAGTCATCCAAGAATTAGGACTGAGGAAAAGCAGATTGAGGTAGCACACGTTTAGCTCATGAATGGTCCCAGGCAGTGATTCCTTCTGAAAATTGCCCCGTGAGTTCATCACAGGATGCAGAAAAGGGGGCAGTTAGGATAAGTCCTTGCTAGGGGTGAGAACCTGAAAGCTACACTGACCTTTCTGACTATGTGCTTTTTGCTAGTTTGTTGTAAAGACAAACAGAATGCCTTTATTAAAGCAGCAAAAACCAAAGTTTCTAGTTTGGTATCAACAATGAAGATAATAACAGTCACCATGCATTGAGCACTGCTCTGCATTACTTTACATAATCACTTTAGAAAAATCTAAGGGACAAAAGAAATATTTGGGGACTTCTGGTTATCAATGTCTTTATGGCTTCCCAACAATGATCATGTGCCCACAGGGTGTGCCCCACCACAGTTTTGGGGCAGATCTGGAGCTGATGTCTACTCCACACCATCCCTAAAGCCCCAGAACAGACACTGGGAACTTTTCTGTCTACACCAATACTAATCCTACAGTGGCCCGGGCTCCCACACTCTGTTTATGCATGCCCCAGCCCTTAAAAGTGGGCATTTGTGGGGTATCCTGGAAAGAGAGGAGGAAAACTTCAGTGTGCCAATGGTCATGCATTATTCCTTCTAGGTAATTCTTGGGAAGCAGGAAAGCCATCGAACACTGCTTTTTGGGCCAGGAGACACGTGCACTCAACAAACCCTGGTGAGATCCTGGCTGAGCTCTTGAGTGGCTCCCCAGCCCAGTGGGACAATGCCGGCACGCCGAGGCTGGCCAGTGTCTCAGTGCTATCCCTCACCTTGTCGCTGTGGTCCCTCACTTGGAGAGACCTGTCTCCCTGAGCAAGTCCTTCTATTTCTCCCCTCTCACAGCTGGTCCTCTGAGAGCAGTTTTCATCAAAGCTTTGAGGTGCTGTTTTGGTTTTTCTCTGTTCTCTTTCCAATCTGTTGAGTCATTCCTTTGTTCCGAAGGAGTTTTAAGATTGTTTCTTAGCTACTAGTCTAAAAGACAATTTTAGAAGACCAGGAATTCCACTGTACTCTGTATTTGACTGTGTTAACTCTCAGATTTAAAGGGAAATAAAAAGATTACTGGGAATAAAAACCATATCTGTTATTATATACAAATGCTTCCACTACATTCATGCTCTATCACCTTCTCCATATTACATCGGAATAATATGGAATTCATTTCAGAGAAATGAAGTTACCTGCACAAGGTCACTCAGCTATTACATGATTTAAACTCAGATCCACTGAGTTTGTGTGTTGTGTGTTCAGAACAGGAATTTCTTATCTTAATAAAATAACCTAAGACATACTCAATGCCCATGGGAACAACTATCCTCTAACTCATTAGGATTTCTCTGTTTGTTTCTGTGGCTTTTCCTTTAAGCTGAAAATTTCTACCCGTGTTCTTTTTCTTTGGGTAAAAAGATTCTACCTTTCTCTCTTAGTGTTTATTCATCTTTGTCCCTTAATATATTTGGAAATCTATGAGGAAAACAATATTGTGTTGCTTTCTGGGTTCACTCATCCAGTTTCTTCCAATCAAAGCTATGACTTCCTGAAAACTTAAGCCCAAGGAAAGTATAAACACCTCCCCAGATTGCCTTGCTTCTAGAGCGGGGGTCAGCAAACTCGTTGTGCAAAGGGCCAGATAGTAAATATTTTGGACTTTGCCAGTCTCTGTCATGATTACCCAACTCTGCCCAATAGCATGAAAGCTGTCTTAGAAAAAATGGACATGACTGTATTCCAATAAAATTTTATTTACAAAAACTGGTCATGTATTAGCATGTATAGTGTGTGGGGGGCACGGGGAGGGCTGTGCAACACAGAGAAGACAAGTAGTGATTTTACAGCATCTTACTATGATGATGGACTGACTGTGAAGGGGTATGTGGGGGGGACGTAGTGAACGGGGGAGCCTAGTAAACATAATGTTCTTCATGTAATTGTAGAATAATGACAAAAAAAAAAAAACTGGTCATGGGCCATAATTTATCTACCCCTGTTCTAGATGATGAGGAGGAAGAGCAGGATATTGATGATCAACTACAATCAGCATTAATTGTTTTTCTGTGCAAAATACTGTCCTAAGTACTCTGTAGTATTTCTTTTAATCTCCACAATTCCATAGGTCACACTATTATTATACCCATTTTATAATGGAAAACACTAAGCTTTAAAGACAAACCGTCAAACAACTAGCAAATTGTGGAACCAAAAACTCAGATCAGACACCATAAAGCAGACACATTCACTGTTGAAAACTTTTTAGTCAACCTCTCTCAAAACTACCTCTAAACACCGTGGGAAAGCTTAGTAAAGTCACAGCATTCAACTTCAGTAGAAAGACTGAGCATAATTTTAATTTGCTTAATCCATGTAAATTTTGGGCTACTGAGATATTTCACTGAACAAACATTTCCTATGCCACTACTATGAGCCTCAAATTATAGTAGAGATTTGAGAAGGAAAGTAATAGAATCTAGTTGCCTTACCCCAGACATACTTAGAGTCTTTGGAGGAAAAATCCTCCCCTTTCTTCTCTTAGAGTCCATCTTAGCAGACCCTAGTTGGTATTACTTGAGGAAGGCAATCAAAATTTATTTGCAGGTGTCTATAGCCACAGATGTGTTTGGCTTTCCCACCTTCTGTGATTGTTTTCATTTGGATTATTTTTGTTCCTTTTACTATAGTGCTATGAACAGTTTCTAGGAAATTTCAAATAATCTTACAAAAAAAACCTTCTCCCAGGAATTGAAGCCCCAGACAACCATTCCCATAACATTGATCATAGCCTAGATATTACCTCTAAATATCCAACTCAAGAAAACATCCAAAAAGGCTCCAGTTGTCTTAAGCTAATGTCTGCAGTTGTCTTAAGAACAGAGCCTCATCTCTCAATCCCTCTCCTTTCACATAGCCCTATTGTACAACTACACATTGTGTGTGTGTGTGTGTGTGTGTGTGTGTGTGTGTGTGTGTGTGTTCTAGCAGGGTGGGTTCATTAAACAGTACAGAATCACATAAGGAAAAGTGGAAGTCCCTACTCTCATAAAGCTAATGACTCACAAAGTTTATACTTCCTTCATTTCTAAAAGAGGTTCTCTCTACTGTCATCCATAAAATTCTCTCCTTTACCCCCCCCATACTCCAAATGAAATGCCTTTTTAATGTCCTTCCTCTCCAAATACATCTGTTTAATTGTTAATATGCCTCATTTGCACTAAATCCAAATGGGAACCAGCCTATGGTGGTGGGATTTGGTGTTACTTTTCCCCACAGGTCAAACCTCACACAGCTGTTCATCATGAGCTCTCTACGGCCCCCAACAGCTGCCTGGCATCTATGTTATGTGAGTGATGTTCTCTAGTCACAGGGCCCTGAGAGCTTGCTGCTCAGCCAAAGAAATCCTAAGGGAGAAGAGTCGGAATGAATGGCATACCACGCGCAAAGTCACTGGGCACCTCGCGGTACATTTCATTTCCCATACAGAAGCTAATTCAAGCCAGTGCAGTCACTGGTCAGATGCATAGCTGTTGAGGAATCCCTGACCCCCTCCTTCCTAAACATATGGAGAACCACCCTAAAGAACCCAAGAATATACTAAGGACTATTTTCCTCTGTGACTGAGATCTATATCTCTGATTGCCAGACACTAGGAAACTAGGAAAACAAGGGGACAACTCATACAACAGTGGTAGTTGGAAAACAGGAGATGCACTACTGTATTATTATGCCCTGAGACTCTTTCTAAAGGGATGAAAGTCATCAAGGATAAAGGAGAGAAGGGAAAGAGAGGGGAGGAAGAGGAAAGATTCTACATTTACATTATTGATTTGTTTGGTAGAACAACACGCATACATCCTCATGAGGCTATAAATGACTGCCATGCTGTAATGCCTTTGACCCTGCCCAACCCACACCAGCATCCTCAGTCATCAGACAGCAAAACTTTAGCCAGCTCGCATATACCCTGGACCAATGGCAGAGTCAACTGCTGCCTTACATGCTGGGTAAAGCCTCAGATATAGACAGAAGCCCACTAGACCCTGATGTGCAGCTCAGAGGAGTTGGAAGAGCAGTTAGTGCCCCTGGGGCAACTCTTTACAACTAATAAACACTCTGACTTCCCAGCCTTCCTGTGGGAAATTTCTGTGGGTGGATGATTCTGTATGCTTCTTGGGACGTCCAGCAGGACTGAGCCTCCAATTTCATGGCAGCAGCCTTCATGCAACATTCTTAAATTGGGTTTTCCTTCTCCTGTTCATTACTTTCTCCCATCCCTCATTTCTGCAACTTGTAATCACCTCCCAAATAAAATACCTGTATAAGTGCCCCTGTCTCAGGCTCTGCTTTCAGGAAAACTGAGTCTTTTCAGAGCTGCCTATACAGAAGGAGACATGCTTTGGACCAACCATGGCAAAACTACTACCTGGTCCACTTATACCAGGATAGAGCTGTCTGATGTCCGGGAGTAGTGACGGGGATTGGACGGGGGCTGGAAGAGCTGACCTTCCCAAGACCTGCTTACATAGGCTCATTCTTCATAGTTTGTTGCTCTTGAGCAGTGTAGCTGCTTCTCATGGGAGAAACTAATCTGTTCCACCATTTATGAGGAGACCTAGTCTTTGACCCCCTTACCTTCCTTCCTTTTGGTCTGTCAAGGATATCCAGCAGCCAGGGGCTATGAAAAAAAGTCATAAAAATGATAACAGACAGTGACATCAGCAAAATTAATGGCAGACTAGGATGTTTCAAGCCCTTATTTTCTCATAGAGACAAAATAAATAAATAAAAACAACCAAAAATTGAGCAAAATAGCCTTGGATGAGCTATGGAAAAATGGTCAAAAATCTAAAGCAGCCACTCAAACACCCATGAAGCAAATGCCACACTCAAAACCATAGGAAATGTGGAATTTTTGCGTGCCCTTTCCCACCCTCTCCCCGTTGTGGCATGGTCTTGGTCTGGATGATGCAGCAGTTCCTAGTTCCCTCCCTGGGACTAGAGGGAGCAGAGCAGACCTGATTTGCAGTATTTTAATCTATCTGGAAGCTGCTTGAAGGATTGGTCTCTGTTTCACCTAATATAGATCTGAGTCAGAGAGAAGCAGTGGGTGCTGCCCAGGAAGGCTGCAGTGAAACTACAGACCTGCAGATGTCTGGGGTAAGAGATTACAGGGGAAGATACACAATGTATATCTAAGTCCCAAAGAGAAATTGAGGTGAGACTCTTTGTGCAATTAAGATATTTATAAGCAGCTATGTATACGGGGTAATTGAAAAGCCACACAAAGACCCAGGCAAGACACACACTCTGAAAAGACCTGAGAAGACCTTAACTTTTCTCCTTGGGCCGATCCAAAGGCTCAGAACATGCCTAGCTAATGACTTAAGGACATCCCCAGCAGAGAGCCAGTCTGCAAAGAGTGGAAAAGGTGTTTGTCGTTTTCAGATGCTCAGTTTTCAGCAAAACACAGAAGACAGAAAGAAAACATACAAAGCATACAAGCATACAAGCATACAAAGAAACAGTAAGAAAGAAAACACAAGCATACAAAGAAACAGTAAAACATGGCCCAATTAAAGGAAATAAACAAAATGCAAAATCATCCTGAAGAAACACAATTATTAGATACAAGACAAAGACTTCAAAACAACTTTTTTTTCTCTTGTTAAGTTGATCACAGAGAAAAATTATTGGTTACTGCTTACCAGAGAGACATGTAAATAAGGTTTGGTATGTATGAGGAATTTCTTTGATCCTTAAATATTGCAGGCAGTATTGTTTATGTATAAAAAGAAAATTAGTTGTCACTTTATTCATGTTTTCAACCATTTACTCATTCCTGCCAGTTGTTGACTTGGACACCTAGGTTACTAGATAAAGGATTGAGTAGGCAGGGTTTAACTTTCATGCCCCTGGGAGCATCTGTGAATTTTCTGCTGTTTTGGCAGAAAAATTTGTAAAGCATTGTCACCTGATTCATGCTCCAAAACAAGCATGCTGACTTCAAGTTATTCCTTAAAGGAAATGAAAGGTTGGGGGAGAAAAATTCAGTTGTAATAGTCCATCCTTATTTGGGATAATTAAAGTGGAATAAAGTTTCTATCAGTGAAAAGCCTGATTTACAATATAATTTTTAGAGAAATAAATTTTTTTCATGTGTATGCAATATGTTAACCATTAAAAGAATATGGGTAGATAAATATCCTACAATATCTGTGGATGAATTAAAACTATTTTATTAAGATAATTTTATCATTATTAAAATAATATATGTACTGTGTAGAAAGTACTGAAAATACAGAAAAGTTTAAAGAAACAAAGTATAGGATTCCATTACTCAGAGACATATGTGTATGTTGCAAAATGATGTCACAATAACTCTAGTTAACATCTGTCATGACACACAGTTATAAATGTTTTTTCTTGTGATGAGAACTTTTAAGATCTACTCTTTTAGCAACTTTCAAATATACAATATAATATTATTAACTAATGTCACCAGGCTGTACATTAAATTCCCAGGACTTATGTATTTTTGTAACTGGAGACTTGTACTTTTGATCACCTTCACCCATTTCACCCATTCCTCACTTCCTGCCTCTGGTAACCACCAATCTAGTCTTTGTATCTTTGATAAAACAATTATTCAAATATTCTCAAAGAGGTAAAGGAAAACATGAACAAAGAACTAAGGGAAATCAAGAAAACAATAAATGAACAAAATA